TTAAACTTGAACACTATCCAATGCTAATTCCACATTAAAGGGTAGAACAACTCAGTGGTTCTGCAAGTGAGGACTGATGAGTCAGACAAACTGAGGTCCTTGAGGTCTGCTGCGAGGCACATAACCAGCAGGGAGATCTCACCCTTTCTGAACCTCACTTTCCTCGGCTGCCAAACGGGGATACGAACAGCACCTGCTCCGCCGAGCTGATTTCAGCATGAACGTAAATGATCCACGTACACCACACACTACATCACTCCTGAACTTAATTGCAAATGACAGGCGCCACGGCACAAGGCAGGCAGGAACCATGTAGGAAAGCGGAGTCTGCCCCAGCGAGCCCAGTCGACTAGAAAGCCAGGGCTCCCCCAGCCGCGGGGCAGCTGCCCCCCGCCCGAGGCCGTGGGCCCGCCCTTACCGCTCTTGGGTTTAGAATCGCCGGCGGGCCCCGCCGAGGCGGAGCGGGGCGGCGGGGGCCCTTTGCTGCAGCCCGAAGAGGCGGAGGAGCTGTTGGAGCCGCTGCTCTTGTCCATGTCGGAGGCGGTGGCGGCGGCGCTGGGGGAGCTCTGCAGCATCAACGGGGGCCTCGGCGGCAGCGGTCGGAGCGGCGCGGGCGCGGCGGGGACCCAGGCTCATGGCGTTCCGGGCCGGCGGGGGTCGGCGGCGGCAGCGGTTCTCGACCTTCAAGGCGACATCTTTCCTCGATTCCTTCCTCGGCTTCTCAAAAAGGAAGGAGAAGCGGCGGGCGGGGCTGCGAAGCCCGGCGGCGGCGGGGGCCGAGACGGCGGCGGCGGAGGCCGGAGCTCGGTAGTCCGGGCCGGGCCTGGCGGGGCGGAGGCGGCGGGGAAGGGGGAGACGAGGGAGGGTGCGCGAGCCCCGCCGGCCGGCCGGACGCGCTCTCCCGCCGCGAGGCAGGGGGGAGGGCTGGCTGTCTCGGCGTCGGGACGAGTGTCTCCGACACGGCGGCCGACAGTCGCCCCTGGGCCGAGGCCGAACTGCTCCGGGAATGGCGACGAGTCGCCAAACAGCATTTCGAAGGACCCGGATGGAACATATATACGGGCGAGGGAGGAGTGAAGCACCCTGGGAAACGTAGTCTTCGTGAACATCCGGGTCTAGTTTTGTTTGTTTGTTTATTTTTTAATTGTAGAGATGCGGTCTCGCCAAGTTGCCCAGGCTGGTCTTGAACCCTCGGGCTCAGGCAATCCTCTCACCTCGGCCTCCCAAAGTGCTGGGATTACAGCTTCAACCACCGCACCCGGCCTTGTTTGTTTTTTTTTTAAACTTTTTTTTTCTCTCTCTTTGAGTGGGTTCTTGAAATAATGATGCTTGTAGTTTCTGCTAAGTCCAGGTTTTGGTGTCTTGGTACACTAATAATATACGCACTAATAATATACACTGATAAAAATGTGGCCAAACATTGGAATACATGGGGAACAACCCTTTGGAGACCAGTTTGAGTTATGGTTTTTATTCTAGTATTCATATCTATTAAGTTATGGCCCTTATTCTCATATTATTAATAAGAATAATGAAGTTAATAATGGCAATACCTTACATTTAATATCACTTTACAGCACTTTCTCACACAGTATGTGATTTCTCTTTTTTAAATTATTGGCCGGGCGTGGTGTGGCTCACGCCTGTAATCCCAGCACTCTGGGAGGCGGAGGTGAGAGGATTACCTGAGCCCAGAGGTGCAAGGCCAGCCTGACCAACTTGGCAAGACCTCGACTCTACAATAAATCAAAAAATTATCCGGGAGTGGTGGGGCTCACCTGTGATTCCAGCTACTTAGAAGGCTGGGGCAGAAGGATCACCTGGGCGACAGAGTGAGACTCCTACTCAAGAAAACAAAAAAAAACTTCATTGGTTTTTATTTTCTATTCTAAATTCAGGCAATATTTCATTCCTCAAAATAGAATGAATATTCTGATTAGCTGAGCAGAAAATCTGATTTTATAGACAGAAAAGAGCTGATGAAAGCAGAAACAACAAAAAGCAGATTGGTGGTTTCAAGTTACCTTTCTTGTAAAGGTTAAAGCAGAGAAGACTTCCTTATTATATCTGCTAAAACTGACTGGTTTGAGGATTTTGGCTATTCTCTCTCAGAAGCTCAGGCAAATAACTTAGTTAAACAGCTTAGTTTTTAACTTGGTTAAAAAAACTTGGTTGGGCAGAACATCACCATGAGTAACTCCATTTTGGTCTGGTCTGCTGGCTCTAGTGCAGGAGTTCAGTCCAACACCATGGATGCCTATAAATGTTATTTAGCAGCTGTGGAAGATAGTAAGATTCCTTGATGAACATTTATTCCCCTTAACAAAGACATGATAAATCTGAGTACATAGATTAATCATTTCTTCTCCCTTTCATTCTTTTTTATTTTTTTTTAGAAAGCAGGATTTATTGAGAGGACAGAAAAGCTCCCACAGTGGGAGGGAACCCAAAGGGGTTGCCCCTATCATTCTTTTTTTTTTTTTTTTTTGAGATGGAGTCTCACTCCGTCGTCCAGGCTGGAGTGCAGTGGCACACTCACGGCGACCCAGGCGTCGACCTGCTGAGCTCCGGAAATGATTCTTCCGCCTCAACCTTCCCAGTAACCGGAATTATAGGCGCGCGCTACCACGTCAGGCTAATTTTTGATTTATTGTTGAGATGAGGGCTCGCCAAGTTGCCCGGGCAGGTCTCGAACCCGCGAGCTCAGGCAATCCACTCACCTCGGCCTCCCAAAGCACTGGGATTACAGGCTGAGCCACCGAGCCCGGGGCTCCTATCATTCTTAAAATAAAAAAGAGGGTCAGGCGCGGTGGCTCACGCCTATAATCCCAGCACTTTGGGAGGCAGAAGTGAGAGGATTGCCTGAACCCATGGATTCGAGGCCAGCCCTGTCAAGTTGGCGAGACCTCATCTCAACAATAAATAAAAAATCAGCCATGCGTGGTGGCGCACACCTGTAGTTCCTGCTATTTGGAAGGCTGAGGCGGAAGGATCACCTGATGCTGCGGTGGCCGTGAACGTGCCACTGCACTCCAGTCTGGGCGACAGAGTGAGACTTCAACTCAAATAAATAATAAAGAGAAATCCCAGTGTAGTACTTCCAAGCCTAAAGTGGTAGGTGCCATCTGTCAAGCTGTATTAAACCAGGAAGAAGTTTTTCGTTTCAAAATACTTTCTCCTATTGGCACGTTCTTCTCCTAAAATATTTACAGGAAACATACATTTTAAAAGGAAATTAAAAATAGAAACATAAAATAATCCAAGAAAAATTCAACAACTTTCATCCTTTCTTTTAGACAAGATGATCTACATTACCCTTTCCATAAAAAAAGTCTGGCTGGTCACAATGGCTCAAGCCTGTAATCCCAGCACTTTGGGAGGCCGAGGCGAGAGAATTGCCTGAGCTCAGGGCTTCAAGACCAGTCTGGTCTCTACAATAAATCAAAAAATTAGCTGGGCATGGTAGCGCATCTGTGGCTCTAGCTACTTGGAAGGCTGAGGCAGAAGGATCACCTGAGCCCAGCAGGTCGAGGCTGCAGTGGCCCCGAGTGTGTCACTGCACTCCAGTCTGGGCAACAGAGTGAGACTCCAACTCAAAACAAAAACAAAAAAACTGAAAATCTGAACCCGTGACATGTCAGTTGGAGCTAGAAACGTAGCGTTATATCTTCAGGAAACAAAGTATGAGCAGTGGTTGGTTCTGGCTTGCTAAAGGATGATCATAGTTTTTGTTCCCATTTATGAACCGCATCTGTTCATAAAATGCACAGGCCAAAGAACAGTCTTCCCTACGTTTATTTTTTAGGGTAGTCTAGCATATGTTTCTCAAGAGGGGTCTGCAAATCCCTTGCATCAGCGTCACCAGATTACTTTGTTCAAATTGATTCCAAGGATACATACCAGATTTACTGATTCAAAATCTCTGGTTGTTGGGAGTCCCGGAATCTACATTTTAAAGATCAAACCAAGCCGGGCTCGGTGGCTCAGCCTGTAATCCCGCGCCTTTGGGAGGCTGAGGTGAATGGATTGCCTGAGCCCGTGGGTTCGAGACCTGCCTGGGCAGCGACATCTCATCTCTACAATAAATCAAAAAATCAGCCGGGCGTGGTAGCGCATGTCAGTAATTCTGGCTACTCGGAAGGCTGAGGCGGAAGGATCGCCGGAGCCCAGCAGGTCGAGGCTGCGATGGCCGGGAGCGGCCACTGCACTCCAGTCTGGGCGACAGAGGGAGAGTCCAACTAAAAAATAAATAAATAAAAAAATAAAACCAGGTGATTCTTGTGCACAACAAAACTTGCAGGAATTGACCTCGTGATCTAGGCCTTTTATTTTATTTTATTTTTTGAGTTGGAGTCTCACTCTGTCTCCAGACTGGAGTGCAGTGGCCGCTCCCGGCCCCCGCAGCCTCGACCTGCTGGGCTCCGGCGATCCTTCCGCCTCAGCCTTCCAAGTAGCTGGAACTACAGGCGCGCGCTACCACGCCCGGCTATTTTTTAATTTATTGTGGAGATGAGGGCTTGCCAAATTGCCCAGGCGGGTCTCGAACCCCCGGACTCAGGGAATTAACTCACCTCAGCCTCCCAAAGCGCGGAATTACAGGCTGAGCCACCGAGCCCGACTGATCTAGGCCTTTTAATCACACCAAGCCTCAGTGTGCCCCTTCCGTACCAGAAACCAAGAATGACTCGATACTCTGCGAATCAGTAGTCGAGTTAGTACTTCTGGTTGGCAGGATGCAGAATATGGCAGATGAAAAGTGTTTAGGGGTCCCCCTGAGGTCCTCTCGCTCCTGGTAAATTCCAAATTAAATTTGGGAAGAGAGAGAGGAAAGGATTTCGGGTAGTCAAAGACTAAGTAAGAAGAAGAAGAAAAAAAAAGACCAAATAACCTCCGGATGGGCGAGATTACGCGCACAGAACTCCTTCTTATCAGGTTTCAGGGCGCGTTCAGCGAATGCTGTCCCCTGCCAGCTGCCGTCTTCCGTCTACTGACGCAACGCGACGAATGCTCCGGCTCTAGACACCCGGCTGTTAAGATGGCGGCCGCCAGGAGCTGCGCTCTCTGGAGCTGCTGCGGCCGTGGGTGGTCGCAGGTAACGCCGGGCCGCCAGCTCCCCGGACTTCGTAGCTCCTGGCCCGGGGACCCGCTGGGTGTGCGGCTTTTGTCCCAAGAGAAGAAAGCAACGGAAACGCACTTCGGGTTTGAGTCTGTGTCGGAGGAGGAGAAGGGAGGCAAAGGTGAAAGGGACGAGAGGGCGGATGGGTGGTCTGACCGTCCGCGATCGAGTTTCAGCTGCCCGACTAAGGGTGGATTTAACATTCAGTGAGCTCCGATGCTGTTGTCTGTGCAGTTCTGACTTCCAGGACGTCCCCCCTGCCTGACCTGGCAGAGCTTAGGGGCTCCCTTTTTTGAAGCAATTATCACTATACCCCGTCATTTGAGTGTTTATGTCGTGCCAGGCACCGTCCAGACGTTATTTCCAGTTTTCATTTCCATTTTCCAGTGGTGAATGTTGTTATTCCCGTATTACGGTGAGGAAATGGAGACTAAAGGCTAAGGAAGAACTTGCCAATTAGGTAGTATAATGGTGCAACCAGTATTCCAACGCAGTTTAGTGTGACCCCAAAGCCTGCGTTCTTAACTTCTTGCTAAAAAGATTGGCATCTTTTATAAAAAAGAAAGAAGGAAACTATCCTCTCTGTCCCTCAGCTTCCAAATTTGCCAAGAATGAATAATAGTAGTAAACCTTCTCTTGGAGTCCTCGTATGGGTCAGAATACTTCACACATGAAAGCACTTTGAACAGTGCCTGGCACTTAGTAACTGCTCAGTAAATATTAGATATTGTTGAGCAGTTTCTTTTTTGTCAGCTCTGTGCCACAGGCATGGGAAAGGAAAAGAATTGTTTTAAACTCCACCTGCCACTTATAAAGAGGAAGATATTTTGCCTATTTTACAGATGGATAAAGTGAGGCTCTGAGAGGTTCCTTCACTGAGTCACTCAGGAAGTAAAACAGAAAGCCTACAGTGGGGTTTCCCATCCCCTTAAAGACTACCTTGTACTACCTCCCACTTCAGCCTTACTAATACATAGCTCTACTTTAATTCTTTGAACATTGAATTGGAGTGATTATTTCACAGGACTCTGAATGCCCAGAAAGCTTGAACAGTAATGGCTCATTCATTTCTGTTTCCTCAGTGCCTGATGCACATTAGGAGCTTGGTAACCGCTTATGGAGTCAAAGAAGTGGAGCCAAGTACCATGCTAGTTAACATTTATTGAGGATCTGAAAGCTTATAAAATACTTGGCATTAATTCTTTTTTTTCTTTTTTTTTTTTTTTTTGAGTTGGAGTCTCATTCTGTCGCCCAGACTGGAGGGCAGTGGCCGCTCCCAGCCACTGTAGCCTTGACCTGCTGGGCTCCGGCGATCCTTCCACCTCAGCCTTCCAAGTAGCCGGAATTACAGGCATGCGCTACTATGCCCAGCTGATTTTTTGGTTTATTGTAGAGATGAGGTCTCGCTGCCCAGGTGGGTCTTGAACCCGCGGGCTCAGGCAATCCACTCACCTCAGCCTTCCAAAGGCGCGGGATTACAGGCTGAGCCACTGAGCCCGGCACATTAATTCTTCTAAATACAACCCCGTGAGGTAGGACCTATTAACCCAGTTTTGTAAATGAAGAAACTATAAAACAAAGAGTCACTTGCCCAAGATTCTGATAATAAGCCAAAAAAACTGGGATTTGAATCCAGTTAGGTTGCTCCCAATGCATGCTCTTACCCAGTCTTCAATAACAATAACAACGTCTAAGTTCAGTATTGTGCTTTGCAATATATAGTCAATGTTTTACATAATGGCAAGCAGGGAAAGAGTTACTTACTGAGCTAGATATAAATTATAGATTGGGAACCAAGATTACAGTACAGCTAGTCCTCATTTTGCATAATAATACAAGACTAAAAATTACTGTGCAAGTTGGAATCATGTACAACGGTTTCAATAACAGGAAAAATTAAATTGTTCCATGACCTTTAAAAATTGTTAACCATCGGCCGGGCTCAGTGGCTCAGCCTGTAATCCCGCGCATTGGGTGGTCAAGGTGAGTGGATTGCCTGAGCCCGCGGGTTTGAGACCTGCCTGGGCAACTTAGCAAGACCTCATCTCTACAATAAATCAAAAATTAACCGGGTGTGGTAGCGTGTGCCTGTAGTTCCAGCTACCTGGAAGGCTGAGGCGGAAGGATCGACGGAGTCCAGCAGGTCGAGACTGCAGTGGCCAGGAGTGGCCACTGCACTCCAGTCTGGGCGACAGAGCAAGACTCCAACTCAAAAAAACAAAAAAGAAGCCGGGCTCAGTGGCTCAGCCTGTAATCCCGCGCCTTTGGGAGGCTGAGGTGAGTGGATTGTCTGAGCTCACAAATTCGAGACCCGCCTGGGCAGGCGAGACCTCATCTCTACAATAAAATCAAAAAATCAACCGGGCGTGGTAGCGCATGCCTGTGATTCCGGCTACTCAGAAGGCTGAGGCGGAAGGATCGCTGGAGCGCAGGAGGTCGAGGCTGCAGTGGCCGGGAGCAGCCACTGTACTCCAGTCTGGGCGAAAGAGTGAGACTCCAACTTAAAAAAAAAACAACAAAAACAAACAAACAAACAAATGCAGATTCCGGGACTCCCAACAACCAGAGATTTTGAATCAGTAAATCTGGTATGTATCCTTGGAATCAACTTGAACAAACTAATCTGGTGACGCTGATGCAAGGGATTTGCAGACGACTCTTGAGAAACATATGATAGACAACCCTAAAAAATAAACATAGGGTGCCGGGCTTGGTGGCTCAGCCTGTAATCCTGCACCTTTGGGAGGCTGAGGTGAGTGGATTGCCTGAGCCCGCGGGTTGGAGAACTGCCTGGGCAGCGAGACCTCATCTCTATAATAAATCAAAAAATTAGCCAGGCGTGGTAGCGCATGCCTGTAATCCGGCTGCTCGGAAGGCTGAGGCTGAAGGATCACCAGAGCCCAGCAGGTCGCGGCTGTGGTGGCCGGGAGCAGCCACTGCACTCCAGTCTGGGTGACAGAGTGAGACTCCGACTCAAAAAAAAAAAAAAATTATTAACCATCAAAATTCTCTTACTATGAATTACAAATGTATAGGGAAATGAAGAAAATATACAGAAAAGATAATCTTTGGACAGACCTAGTAGTCCTAGCACTATGAGAGGCCAATATGAAAGGATCACTTGAAGCCTGGAGTTCAAGATCAGCCTGGACAACATAATGAGATGCCATCTCAATTTTTTAAAAGTTAAAAAAAAAAAGCCAGGCTCAGTGGCTCAGCCTGTAATACCACGCCTTTGGGAGGCTGAGGTGAGTGGATTGCCTGAGACCGCGGGTTCAAGACCCGCCTGGGCAGCGAGACCTCATCTCTACAATAAATCAAAAAAGAATC